AAAATTATGCTTTTGAATGTCTTGAAATTATCAACTGCATTATCCAAAATGACCTCATGCATGAAATAGCATCGGTAATGTTTCATACTCTGTTGATGAAATCACTGATATATCCATTAACAGATACTTGATACTCTATTTTAAATATAGATCCATAAATTCTGCAGACTATAAAACTTCAATTGGTGGATTATTACGATTGCAGGAATGTGATTGTGTAGCGAAGTGTCTGCAATCAAAGAGTTTTATAAAAAACACCAACTTGATCTAACGAAAGTGGTGATGTTCACATCTGAAGGTGCCTCCGTGATGTTGGGCAAACTCAATGGCGTGGCAGCTCAGCTGAAATGCGATATTCCACACTCAGTGCAGCAACATTGCATTACACACCGGGAAGACTTGGGGATTTCCGATGCATGGAAAGAGGTCAAGCTGATAAGAGACATCAAAACCTTAATGAGAACTGTCTACACGGTGTTCTGTCGGTCATCCAGGAGAAAATGCAAATTACAGGAAATAGTGGATGCTTCTGAATGTGAGGTAGTGGCTTTCAGGCCACTCAATGAAGTGTGCTGGTTATCTAGGCACTTTGCACTTCGAGCAATTGTTCGCAACTATAATCCTCTTCTGGAATATGTTGAGCAAGAGAAAGATACTGATCCAGTTTCTAAATACTGCCATAAAAAGCTGAATAACATGAAATACTGAAAAACATTAGAAGTTTTGAATGCTGTTTTGTCGGAGCTGGCTTCACTATTCACGCTGCTCCGGAAACGGGGCCTTACACCTCTTGAAGCTTTTCATCTTGCCCGAGGTAAACGGAACAAGATCAGAAGACAGTACCTTGGAGATTCAGTCTTATGGAGTGACAAATTTAAGGCTCTCTTAGATATGAGCTCTCAAGAAAATAATGAAATTGATACCAGTTCCATAATAACTTTCATAAACAACTTGTGTGCACATTTGGCAGACAGGTTTCCAGAGGATGAAGTCCAGGAGTGGTCCACTTTTGAGTGTGTAGCAATAGTTAAGTGTGACTTCAGTTTTGGAATTCATCAGGTCAAAACCCTATGTTCAACATACAAAGACTTTCTTGCTGAAGAGATTGTTATAGTCAGTCAGTACAATGACTTCAAGTTTGCAGTAGCTGAAAGACTCAAAAGCCAATTGGTTTTAAGTTTCCCGGATATGGTGACATTTGCTCACCAGAATGAACAGTTTCAGGATCTTGCAAAGTTGATGGATATTGGAGGAACATTCCTAGCATCAAGTGCAGACTGTGAGCGTGGCTTGAGCTTAATGAACACTCTGAAAAGCAAACTATGGAATCGTTTACAAGTAGATCATTTGGGCATCCTGATGTGTATTAAGAGTTACCAGCTGGATGGAGGACTGATAGATCTGGACAGAGTTTATATTGAATGGGCAAATGAAAAAGATCGCAGGGAAAAACAGTAAGGTTAATTTAGCAGAATTGACATTTCAATCAATAAGGAAATTAAAATGCATTTGTAATTACATATCTTATTCTTGGCTGATAATCATTTATTGATATTTTTTAGAAAAAAAAAAATAAATTTAAAACACAAACTGTTGTTTTTCTTTTTTTACTTATGATGTCTCTATCTGAAAACCTATATAACTTGACATAATGGCATACTTATTAAATTATCTTTATTATATGTTTATCAAAATCTTATCGGACATGTGTATAGAATGAAAGGTGAAAGTGGACACCAACGGGCAGAAGCCTATGGACTGATAATTATCGTGATTAATATGTGCTTGATATATGCTCGTGATTGTCTATAAAAAAGATCATAAAGTGTAATGCTTAAAACTAACTTCTGCTTCATGAAGAATGGTTAAATTTCCTTTTTCTAAGTATTTAAAAATGACATTTATAAAATAACATGGTGTGAAACTATTATTATCACAAATTGCAAATTAAAACTTTTTAAATGTATAAGCATTTTACTCACTTGGGTGCATTTGCCTCATGGCACACAAATTTGAACTCTGCTTCAAAAATTTGCACAGAAGACATTTTTTGCACACACGGCCTGTTAAAAATTAGAGGGAACATTACCCCCCACCCCCTTTCATTTATCACAGCCTCTATTCCCAGTTCTGCACAAACCTGGCATATGTGCCGGCATCACAAGGAAAGTAAACCAGCCTGCTCTCAGCCAAAAAACCTTCCTCTGCAACTGCATGAGAATGTATCTACTGGTGGTGCTCAAGGTCTGCAAGTTACTATGAGCCCATTAGTTACAAAGAAGAGTAAAGAAACAAACCAGCATTTTAATTTCACTTTGTTTCCCACGGGTAATTTCACAGGAGGCCATATAAAAATATAGATGTTTCATTAAAGACAGTAATATGTTCATAAAGATTTCTTCTAGATCCACTGCCTTAACACATTCTTGACCCCTCAACTCCCTCCCCCCCCCCGCCACCCCCAGCTGCAGTTTGAAAGAAAAATACACCCTTGTGATGTTCTGGTTCAGTGTAGCATCCTGTCTAATAGGCCATGTTGCTTCCTGGGTGTGACTTTTGCACGTATTGGTAGCACTATTATGGGCACATTCAAACAGTGTGCCCTGATTCTGTTAGTGCTTGGAATTAATTCAGAACCTAATGACCAGGCTCACACCCCTGCAATGGGACGGGGAATCTGAGTAGGAATGGGAACAGGAATTTCAGTGTGAGCAGGAATGGGACGATGAGTAGGAATGGGAGTTTGACTGGACATGGGTATAGGTGGGCGCGGATAACTAGGAATGGGAATGCAAACAGGAATATGAGTGTCAATGGGAACATCAGCATGTGTGAGAATGAGCACGGGGACATTAAAGAGAACGTGAGTCAGACTGGAGATGGGAATGGACAGATGAATGAGTGAATGGCTCTAGGTGTATGAATGTAAGTGGGAATGGAAATAGTAGTAGTGGTGGTGTTGGAGTTGGGGGTGGTTGTGGTCCTAGCACCTAAAGCCTCCTATCACAGACTAAGGACCCCGAGTGCTAGGCACTGTACAAAGACAGAACAGGAGGACTCTATCTACCCACAATGGGTTAGCAACCTAGGTATAAATGAAAAGGGCAGTATGAGTGGGAATGGGAACAGGAAAGGGAATGTAATCACCAATATGAATCTCGATCTCTAATAATTATCTCCCTTCAGAGCTGCCTGCAGCCTCACCTAGAGAAAGACTCCCAGACACACTGCACTCGCCACCCCAGGGAAACTTAATTCTCCAGTGGGTGCCCCAGCCCAATGCAACCCTGTGACCTGACCCCTCCCCAGTTACTGACCCAACGTTCGTATGGGCGGGGGTGCCGGAAACCCCTTCCCCACGACTGTATCATTTGATAACAATCAGGCGCTAACTTCATAACCGGGGGATTGGGCTCACTCCCGGCAGCTGCTTCTTTCCCTTTTATAGCCCACCGGCCTGGCTGGGCGCTGCACAGACACACAGGAAGGGACGATCTGACTCCCCTCTGAGCCCTGGGGCAAGAAATGAACAGCCTTAAGGAAAGGAGTTGGCGTCCCTTATAAGGAGGGGAATATGCAAATATGGGTGGAGAGTTTCCTGTTTAAATATGTCCCTCTCTCTGCCCAGGCTGCATCCGGAGAGAAAATCCGCAGCCCCTGGGTCTGTGCAGTGACCAGCCAGTCCCCTGAGAACTTTCCCCTCCAACACCAGGCAAAATGAGACTTTGGATCGCAATTGTTTTCACTGTAGCAGCTGTGGGAGGTATTTTGTTCTCCTGATTAAATGGCAGAGCCAGGAGACTATACAATTATTATTGTTTTATACTGATAATTGTAACATGCCTTTATTTGCAGGTGTCCGGTCCCAGGTCCAGCTAGTGGAGTCCGGAGGGGATGAGAAAAAGCCCGGAGACTCTCTCCGCCTCTCCTGCAAAGCCTCCGGGTTCACCTTCAGCAGCGCCTACATGGATTGGGTCCGACAGGCTCCCGGGAAGGGGCTGGAGTGGGTGGCTGAGATTAGGCCCGATGGATCGAGTCAATCGTATTCCCCAGCTGTGAAAGGCCGATTCACCATCTCCAGGGACAATTCCAAGAGTGAGCTGTATCTGCAAATGACCGGCCTGAAGCCCGAGGACACCGCTCGCTATTACTGTGGCAGACACTATTCACACACAGAGAGACTAAAACTGTCGATGCTAATACAAAAACCAGAGCTGTGGAACTTCCCGCGCCTGCCGCATGGGGGCAGCAATGACACAAGCAAAACTCTCCTGTCTTGGGCACAAGAGAGCGAAGGGCCTCAGGACTGAAAACTCTGACACCATTTTAACATTCCTGTACCAAATATCTATCTATCCCCATGCACCCCACCCCATCTATCTATCTATCTAGTGATGGGTCTTCCTCCTTGTCTTGGATCTCCAGTTCTAGACAGTGTGATCGATCCGGGAAGGAGTTATTCTTTTTTATATCGATTGGGCATATGTAAATACAGATGTGTATTTCCCGTTTATATCTCTCTTTCTCTCCGGAGAGACAATCCGCTGCCCCCTGTCTCTGTGCTGTTACCAGCCAACACTCCTCCACCCCCACCCCTGAACTTTCTTCTACAACACCAGGAAAAATGAGGCTTTGGCTCCATTTAATGCTCATTATAGCCGCTTTCGAAGATAATTTATCCTCCTAAATGTATTTGGACAGGCAGAGGAAGATTCTATTATTGCTATGGGTATTTATAGGATTTACAACGTGCTTTATTCCCAGGTGTCCGGTCTCAGGTGCAGCTGGTGGAGTTTGGGGACCCGCGTGCTGGGACTGATGCGACATAAATTATATCTAACAAACAAATCTCTGGGAGAGGGAACATCTGTTTGTCCTGAGATGGCCCAGGGCTTGGACTAGTGGGGCCCGAAATACGACTTCCAGGCCCAACCACAACAAAAAGAATAAATTATTATTATTTATGTATTATTATTCTTCATGATAATATCATAACTGAATAGCAGTGATTCAGGACTCCACGTTTTATCGCAAGTTCTAGTATGCCCCAAATTGAGGTAATATATTAGCCCCTCACAACGTTTAATGTAGTTGCTTTCTCACCATCTCTGTGAGAGAGGGAAATGCTGCTGTCCCCTTGTTAGAGATGAGGAACTACCAAAAACGATTATATA